AAGAGACAGCCCCCGCCCCCCCCGCCCCCCCCGCTCTCCCCCGTTTTTGGCCTACTATCCGTGTTGCCGTATGGCTTATTCACGCGCAAGGCCTCCGTGTTGTCCGCTGATAGGTAAAGGTATGCCATTGAAGCGGGCACACGGTGTTGCATGACTTGATTCATTGCTTTGGGAGGCGCAATCCCCATGCCCTTGTGCATTGAGGTGTGGAGTCTATCGCAGACCCAGCGTTTGTTTCACCGCTGTGTGTTATCTCTCTCCTTGCCCCCCCACTCTCCGCATTAGGACCTGATCAAACATGTGTCCGGCCTGAAGGAAGGGAAGGGGTCCATCAAGAACGAGGTGTTTCTTGCCCTGCACAACAAGGGGCCGGAAGAGGCCATGGAGCGGTGTACGGGGGTCATCCACCCCGTCAAGATATGGCACGGAAGGTGCGGTTCATCGTTAATTGCCGACGTCTTGTCGTGTTTGTTGTTGTTGGTGTTAGTAGCCTTGGGGTGCGAGGGGCTGCTAGTGTCGTTGCTTCCCCTCCGCTTCCATACTCCTTTTCTGTCATCCACCAGTAAGCGCGTGTGACCGTCCTCGTGCAAACACGGAAGTGCCCGAGCCGCTTGATCTTCACGTCGCGGCCTTGCAGCAGACGGATTGGTCGATGGTTGTTTTTCATTTTTTTGAACGGTTGCTCTTGTCTTCGATTGTAGCTATATTTCAGAAGTATCCCCAATTCAGTAGGCGAGGCTCTGATGGAGGAGGGTAGGCGTGTTCACACCTCTGGATGTCAAGGTCGTTGGTGGTGGGATGTGATTGCTGGACTTTAATCCACACCGAGATGCTTGCGGACGTGCTTTCTGTACCCACGGTCGGTGGTGTACATGACGTTGTCCCGCTAGTATTCTACGTAACGACTCCAATCATTGGGCAGCAATTTACCGTGTGACACACAAGATAACCCAGCCACTAGGCCGATTTTCAAAGCTGGATTATGCCACGATGAAGAAGATGTATAAATGTCACCATTTATTTTTGGAAAGCTCTCGGCGAAACGGCTTCGATGCCGCCGTTTTCGGCGCTTTGACTCTTTCTGCTGTTGAGCAATCGAGCTTTGAAAACCGGTCCAGGTGTGTGTTGTCTTACGTCATCTACGGTAATGCGGTCGATGAAACGATGACACGCGCATCTTTTTGTTATCCGCCATCGGGGGACAATCATTTTTGCCACTGCCCATGGCGTGTATTCACTGCTTGGCGGGGTCATTGGTCGTGACAAGAAACCCAAACACACACAGACGCAGGCACCGCTGTGGTTGACTCGTGCCGTCACACCTATGCGTGTCTATGCCGACTCTTCTGTCACAGGTCGGACCAGCTGGTGCCGTATGCGGCGACGAAGTGGCTCGAGCGCTCGCTACCGTCCTGCACGAGCGCGGTCATACCTGGGGGCACCCACGCGCTCGTTTACGACAAGGGGAGCATGGAGGAGGTCTTCACGGCCGCGCAGAAGGGAGTCCAGGAGGCCCGGGTAAGCAAGGAGCAGTGGAAGCATTAGGTTTAGGTTTCAGTTTGATGGGCATGGGTGTTTCAGAAGGGTGTACCCTTTCTTGGGTGGTTGGCCTGTGACCGTGAAAGGCGTTCGCGTTAGTTAGACCAATTCGGACGTTGACAGGTACACTTGGCAAAACCCGGAACCGTTTTGTATACGGGGACACAACAGCATCAGCAATAGTACATGTGCCGAACGTCCCACGACCGATTGAGAGAGAAAGGGCTGGAACCGGCATAGAACACCTTCCTCTTGTATTTTATACATTTCTGATGGGTCTGCAGAGGACCGTTTGATCTGGTCTTTTCGTGCTGGTACTATTCCGGCAACAACTTGTTTTTGTTTCTATTCAAAACGTTCCCGAAACCGACCGATGAATGCGTCGTGTTCGACTATTCGAATAGTGATTAATTGCGCTTTCCGCGGCTCAAGGATCAATGAGGGGGGGACGTTAAAGCTCCGTCACTCGCCCCGAGCCCGGCACCTCTCCTAAACTCTTTCCTCTCCTCTGTCTGTAACCTCGTTCCCCTGCCTGTTAAGTCTTCCGCCCGTTTCTCGGCCCGGCGTCTAAGCAGCCAGCTCTCGTACGTGGCTTCGAACGTTTTCTCGCCGCGGGATGACACGTCCCCTACGGCGACGGCTACGGCGGCGGCTACGGCGGCGGCTACGGCGGCGGCGGCCGCGGGCGCGACGGCGGGCATGATGAGCCCTCGCTCCACCAAGGAGGCGGATCAGGTACGGCAGGGGATCGATGTACCCCCCCCCACCTTTTGGTGGTCGAGTAGGTTATGTTGTGCGGGGTCGACAACGCTCACTCCGCGCACGAGGGATGATCGCACCACGTTGTGTTACAATGGTCAAGCAACATCGAGGCAATTACACCGTGCTTTTTATCTGTTTCTGGAAGTGGAAGCACTAGAAATTAAATATTGTTAATCGCAGCTGCCATCCGTATGCAAGAACGTAAGTACAAGATGCCGAACACCCTTGGCAAGATGCAGCGCACCCTCCATTCGATTCGTCGAGTAACTCACGGCGCTTCGCGCTTGGTGATGTGAGAGCCTGGTCCGGTGAGAACCCGGCGTACTCCGTCCCGGCTTTTGTAGGGATGCGTGGTCAATGGTCTAATGACCACGACATGCACGGCTATGAGTACCCCCCCCTATTGGTGTGTTGTTTTTAACAACCGGCCGACGTCTTTGTTGTATACAAACAATAGAGGACGAAAGAGGCGTGGCCTCTTCCTTCCTTCCGTTGTTGCTGTTGTGAGGCGACACCCCCACCGCGTTTCAGATCTCTGTTTGTTTGATTGATCCCGGCGGAATATCTCGCTGTATGCTTGGTGTGGGGCACACACACTGCGAGTAGGGAGCCGCGTTTCACCACCCCACGTTTCTGCTCGTGTGTCGACCGGTGTGGGCGTCGTTCGCGTGTGAATCACTGCTGAGCCACATACTACGTCAAGTTTTCGTCTTTTGGTGTGGGACCTACTCCGATTCAGGGATGCGACCGGCCAAACGGGCGACTGCGAAGACTTTGGTCGAGATTCGCCCCCGTCGGGTGGATACGTCTTGACGTCATGTAATCCGCGCCTTTTCAAGAATCCCGGTCGTATGACTGTGGTACTTTGATTATGACGCGCGGGTCCTTGAGCCCGCTGGATATGGTGAAAATGCCGAGTATACGTCATGTCTCACAGATGGAAGCCGCATGGCAGTCACCACTCGTGACGTCGATGTGCTTACCTGCCTACAACGTGCGCGCTATTCTCTGCCATCGCAACAGCGCGCGTGTAGCGATGCGCTCAACGCTTGATGTCTACGGACCTGATCCGTGGTCAGGCATGGGCTTTGGACGAACGCGGTTACCGCACATGAGAGGCCACCAGAAAAAGTTTTGTCCTCCCGTCTCATCTGGCACACCGCCTTTCGCCATCCGTATTGTCGCAGGCGACGCCGAGCGAAGCGACGACGGTGCAGGAAGGGCAAGCTGTTGGCAAGAAGGAGGACCCGTTAAACTTCCGAAAAATGTTCGCGAAGGCTATCTCGAGGAACGCCAGCGGCACCCCCGACTCCTCTGTGCACTCACTCGCGTCCGCAGCTAACAACAGCCGCCACAAGGCGGGAACGAACGGCGGCAGCAGCGAGCATGGCAGCGGCAGCGGGCACGGCAACGGCAGCGGGCACGGCAGCGGACACGGCGTCGTGGGAATGGGGAGTGGCCACGGAAGCAGTGGGCACAGCCTCAGCTGGCACAGCAACGGCGCGGGCGGGGGGGGCAGCGGCAGCGGCCACGGAAACGCGGGTCGGCGCCTGTCCGCCCTGTCCTCGTCCAGCACCGGTAGCCGGCACGGTCCCGGTAGCAGCCGTCATGGGTCGGAGTCTGCGCCGCCGCCTATCCCCGAGAACGGGGAGCTTGTCGGCGCCCTGGGTGGTTCCGGGGGGAGTGGCAGCAGCAGCCCCGCGGGACTGCTCGGCGAAATCGGGAAGCAGTTCAGCCTTGCTCTCAACGGGTCTTTCGGCCACGAGGGGAGCGATACCGGGGAGGCTTCGATGCCGCCGCCGCCGCCGGTGTCAAAGCCGAGAGATGCGGGGGTGACGGCGGAGAAAGGCGTTCAAGACACTGCGTCTCATTCGGAGAAGAGCGGGGTGGGTCGAATGGCAGAGGGGTTGTTGAAGCAGCTCGACCGAGCGGTGTCCAGCATATCTGTTGGGGACGGCAGCGGCCACGGATCGGCATGGGGTGAGAGCGTCAACGGCGCCGGCGGAAGCGCCCAAGGGAGCGCGCACGGTAGCGTTGCGAGCGTTGGGACGTTGGGCAGCGTCGTCGGTGGCGGCTCGCGGAGACCAAGTGGACTCGTTTTGCCCTGGTCTCGGCAGGACATGGATCAGGGGCTAGATGGCGGTGGTGGCCGCGGAGAAGACGAAGGTACCAATCTCGACGCCGACGCTAGTGGCGACAACCGCTTTGGGCGTGCCTTCATCGGTGCCGGTGCCGGCGGTGGCACGCCGCACTCGAACGACGGCAGGCGCGACGAATCGATGGGGCCGGCGGAACGCGCGTTTGCGGCCGCCTTCGGTAGCGGCGGCGGCGGGGGCGGTGCGGTCTGCAGCACTCCCCGCGTGATCTCAGACGGGAAGCTGTCGTTCGGCACGCCCGTTACGGAACGCGTTGTCTCCACTTCGACCAGCGCTTCCGTCTACGCCACGCCGAGTCGGGTCAGGCCGAGCGCGTCCGTCTTCGGCACGCCTCTCAGGGGTTTCGCCGCGGACACTGCCCGGCCCAGCGCCGGCAGCACCGCCGGCGGTAGCGGGCATGGCTCCGCAGGCCCCGTCCGCAAGGGCTCGTTCGCGATCGAGGGTGTGGTGGCGGTGGACAAGGTGGCGGGGTACGAGGCGGCGATGGCGAACTGGCCTGCGGGGAAGGTGGACGGGAACCCCGCGTGGGAGGAGTGGAGCTCGGCGAAGAAGTTGGTGTGCCACCTTGTCACCGCGGGCTGTTTAGCCGTGATCGTGCTCACGTGGTGATGGTTGTGCGCCGTCGTTGTGGAGGGGGCCAGCTCTTTTTTTTCGTTTCGGCGATGTCGCTCGTGGCTGAAGCTATCGGGCCAGCTCTGCACGCGCCGAGAGATGGCAAGAGGCGCTGTGGTGTTTTTTTTTTTGTTCGGTTTTGATAATCGGTGTAAGACAACGGGGGACGACCCACCCCATGAATGATTATCTTTGTGTTTGCTGTTTGATGTACGCGGAAAGAGAATGCCTTGACTTTCAAAGAAAAACGCACTGCTGTCAGCGCATGCTCATGTATCTGTTACATGCAGTCCTTGGTGTTCAAGTCGGTTCGACCGGCGTGCTTAGCGGAATTTCATGTCTGCAGCAGTAGGTTGGTGCAACAAGCAATGTGGAAGATTGTTCGTTTATGTGTTTGCCCGGCGATAGCAGCCATCGGCCGAAGTAGGCCCTGAGGAATTGGATGTTTCCGGAGGCCGTACGATACGTACTCTAGGTCTGTTAGGTTTCTTGTATGTCGTCGACCTAGTTGTCGTGGGAGGCAGCCTCCCGGCAGCTTTCCTCGTGCTCGACGTGTTAACGTGTTCTGCCCTCTGATGTATGAGTGTTGGTCGTGTTTGCCTTGTATGGTGACTCTTTGGGTCGTGGAAGCACGGCACAGCAACAAGCAGAGCATAAGCATGCACAAGACATGGCAGCGTCCTTGGCTTCTATCAAATCGTTTTATGCATAGAAGAAAATGACTTAATCGGTTGGGGATGTGTTTCGTTGAATGCTGGGGAGGAATTTTCACTCAGGGGTACCCCGACCAGAGTAGTTGTGTCCCGATTTGTTCCCCGCGCGTTTTGGGCGAGTCAGTCAATTTTTGGGAAGCTGCCAACAAAAGGGTGGGGCATGTGTGTTGTTCAAGGGGATGGGCGAAGGCTTGGGGCCGGTGTTATTGTCATCAGACACGTACCGCAGTTTGAATGAGGTATCACACCCCCTGGAACGACTTTAGGCGCTCGATACCTCGGCAGGAGAATCAGTGACGGTGCCGAAAATGGCGCTAGGCGTTGGAACCGTCTCGTCGAGAGCTTTTCGATTACGTATACTTCAATTTCAGCATCATCCTCTTCGTCGTGGAGTAATCGAGCTTTGAAAATCGGTCCACGCGGTGTGGCATTCGAGGCAACCTAGAGTGCCTTGCTGCGTCGGTCGTGTGCGACGATTTTTATTATTGTGTCTATGGGGGGGGTGTCGGGTAGCGTGGGCGTCCGGCGGCTTTGGAAAACTCCGCACAGAACATGGAACATCACAGAGTGGGACATTTCTTCGGAGGCAGCCAGATCGTGGCTTGGTTGGTTGTGGCTGCTTTTGTGCTGCATCCTATTTTGCTTGTTGTTTATGGTCTTCGCCCGCGTCCACCTTTCTACGATCCCCGCGTGACCTTGCGGAGAGAAACATGAGATCGAGAGATGTTAGGTAGATTTGATAAGAAAGAACCTCATTCATGCGAAATGGATTTTTCTTCAGGTGTTACATGGCTTTATTGTCTCATGTCTCATTTTTTTCCGGGCCTGAACGCCGTTAAGCATGGGCCTTACAGGCCGAATCAAGCCGTTGCTGTTATGACACAACATTTTGATTTTTTCACGCCACGCCAACAAACCACGCGGTAATTCAGACCGGCGATGGACAAGGTGCCCTTCCAACACGAAAATAGCCCCTGTTGAAACCCCTCTGATCTCGCGGCTCGCTCGGCAAACAGACCTCTCCTCACCTACCACCGGCTCTGCATAGAGGGCGAACAAGAGGCTAAATATACTTCAGAGAGTTTATTACGTAAAAATGATGCCACGGCAACCAGGGTACTCCTCTATACGCCAAGTTACAACCGGTCGCCCCGGTGGTCTAGTGGGTAGCCTCGTAGCCTGCTAAGGGCCAGGTCATGGGTTCGAGTCCCAGCAGGGAGAGTTTTTTTCTCACTAAATAAATCCTGGTCTAGGATGAAAGCGACGCGCTGCAAAGCTCGTTTGTTAGTAAACCATAATCGACTTCGTAAGTCGCGAGGGAAGGGATTGCTGTACCCTTCTCGCGATAAAAATACCTCAGGCATGAACCGCAGGAGGGGGTCCAACCCCCCCCTCCTATGTGACCCCGGTTGGGTCGTCTAGCCAGTAGAAGTGGAGGATAGGGGCCAGAGGGGCAGACGGCAGAGTCCAATGATGGGAGAGAAACAAAACAAAACAAAAAAAAACACGGTAGTGTGAAAATATTGGACTTGAACTAGTGTAGAGCAACGGCCATGCAGCAGCTCGGAGATCCGGGAGTAAGCTTCACACGCGAACCGACCTCTGCGCAGTTGGTGTCTTCATGCATCCTCATCATGTCATGCTGCCGCCTTGAAGTAAGACTAAACCAACGGAGGAACTCATTAATCAACCGCTACAGCNATCCATTTCCGGCATGGACAAAAAAATATACTTATTTTTTTCGCGCCACTTTTGGACGAAAATAAATGCGGCGGGATTCAATTCACAAGGAAGATCAACTCGGAGCGACTCGTCGACCCCGCCAATCTACTCCGCTTGGTCGAATTACCCATAAAGGAACTCACTGCAGGGTCTCCCGGCTCCACCTCGACGAGATACTGCTCATTCCCTTCCCGTCGCCTGGACGGTGGCGGCTGCTGCTTCCATGCTGAGGCGCGATATCAAAATTGCGGGAGAAACGAGGGTCATCAAGCACAGATGGCGCACGCACGCCAGGGGCTCTCAGCTGACCTCCACGCTGCTGAAGAAGGGCACTGAGACTGCGGCTACCAAGGCAATAGGCTCTGTGGTGGATGACCTCGAGGGCGTTGTAAACATGGCCCGAGAACATGTTGTTGACCTCCGAGAACGGGCTACTAAACGTCGCAAGAAGAAACCGGAAGGAGCCGCCACCAGATCTGCTGCCGCTGCTGCGGTGGCTGCTGCTGCTGCCGAACGAGGTCCAAGGTTAGGAGCCGATGCACGTCTCGCTCGCTC